CTAACTGCTCTAATACAACTTGAATATTCTAGGCTGTCTCCATCTTTACATCTACACTATACTCCCTCAAGCAAGAAAAGCAATCCTTAACTCTCCCACCTTCAGCTTGCAGAGTTCCCCTTGCACAGCATACCATGCAACCTTCCCATACATATTCCCAGCCTAGAATTAAGGTCCCCTCTTTACATACCCACGTCACATGCCCTCTTTCTAGCATAGAACCTATCACACTGGATTCTAATTTTGTCTTTCCTACTAAATCACACACTGAGGATTATGACACATTTGTCTTTTTGCTTCAGGGTACAGCACAATCCTTGTTCCATAGATGCACTCAATGATTAGATGTGTGAAATAAAGATCAAATATTTTTAAAGACAGTTTAATGTAACTATTAACACAATTGGGATAGAAAAATAATTGTTTTTATGCTTCCTGACTTTTGAGAATATATTCCATGAGAATAAACCTATTATGAAAGTAACAAGACTATGTTCAGTTCTCAAATTCTCAGCAATTGTACACTGCACTAAAAGCTCAAGTCCACTCAACTGTACCAACTTGGTGCATGTAGTACAGTTCCAAGTCATAAGGCACCATCTAAACCAGGATGAAGGTGGCTTACTGACACACTGTGCTTGCAGAAGCACTTACGTTCTCACAAGTTTTGTTCTACAGATAAGGGGGAGCCGGTCTGTTTCATGCACTGCTGTGATGCTCACTTCCTACTGCAGCGGTACACAGACTATGAGACACCCAGCACTGTGCAATACTCCAGCTCTACAATCCTAGCAGCAACGAAAAGACTAAAAGATTCCAGGGTAAACAGCATCTTGAGGTGGGTAAACTGGAAACATAATCACTAAAACTTAGGAATCCTTAGGGGATTCAATGTGTATTTGCAATCACAGAGCTAGCCATGTACCCAGTAAGTAGCTTGCAGACTATTTAACAGGATTACTGGCATCTTTGTATATTGTTTAAAAAAAAAAAAACAGAAAAACCCTGGGGCCAGGGAGTTAGCTCAGTAGAATAAGCAAGTGCAAGGGTCTGAGTTCAATCCCCAGTTCTGCGCAAAAAAAAAAAAAAACAAAACCTGCAACACCATTGCAAAAAAAATAAAAATTTAAGTTTATAAAAAAATCCAAAGACCACAAACTCTAAATTAAAATCTGTCACTCTGAAACTTGCAATAGAAGGGATCTAAATTGCAAGAAAATGAGCAGAGAAGGGCTGGGACGATAGCTCAGTACAGTAAGTGCTTGCCTGGTAAGCGCAAGGGCCTGAGTTCAATCCCCAGTTCCACCAAAAAAAAAAAAAAAAAAAAAAAAAAAAAAAAAAAAAAAAAAAAAAAAAAAAAAAAAAGAGCAGAGATCTTTCCTCAATCACCTAATTTCTGGTTAGTGTAATTATAAAGTCTTCATATAAGCCCAAACCTCAACTCGCCAGAATTAATGTTTAGCAAATAAAATTTGGTGGGTTAGAACAAATATAAACGGGCCCAAAGTCATAAATATTTGATATCAACCACGCAACAGGCATACATGAATTCAAAAGTGAAAACAACCTCATTAGTTACCTGAGAACAGGATTCTAAAATGTCTCTAACATAAATGTAAACACATTCATATTAACTAGCATACAATTATGGTCAGCTAACAGGCTTTGAGAGACCTGGTAAAAACACATACATGTCATTCAACTCAGCTCTTTCTCCCTGATAAACACAGATTATTAAACAGAAGGTTCAGTCATTGCATTCAATTTTCCTTCCCATAGATCAAAAAATGCTTGTGGGACCTCTGGGGTTAACAAAAAAAAAAAAAAAAAAAAAAAAAAAGCCCGATGTTTTATGGTAAATAAAGTAATTCCACACATGAAAATATTCTGATTTATATTTTATTGCATTATGAAAATAATACATTTATTTGGCAAAGTATTCTAGTCTCCAAGTTGAAATAAAATTCTTAAGTGTACGGATCATTTTTAAAATGTGAAATTGATGTAGTCTAACCAATACATACTAACATCCATATTAGGTCAATAACTCAGGAAACCTAATTTTAATAATTCCACATGAAAATACAAGGTGTTTTTGCATTCATCCATTTTATAACTAGCACAGATCTTGAGAACTGACCTTCATTTTTATCCAAATCAACACATTTAAGAAACTCCTGTTCAGAAGACAATTTAAAACACTACCCAAAATTTTTATTTCCTTTGGTTCTACAAGTTGCATTTTCATCCTTACAGTTTTCATTAACATTGTAGCAACTTTCAATTCTGCCCAAGTACCTTCATAAGTAAACTAATATATTACATTATTGGAAAAATTGATTTTACAAATGCAAAAGTGCATAGATACATGCCTATCTACACCAGCAAACAAAATAGTCTGAACTTCCATGTTTTAACAGGTCACACCTTCTGGCCCAAGACTTCTGGAATACCTTTCCAAGCCAAGTGGTTATGAGTCCCTCATTAGCAATTTCACTGCTCTGTCTATACTTCTGAAAGGTCTATTTGTGATATACTGGGATTAAATTCATCTAATCACTAATATGACAGCTGTTCAAGGTCAAGAAACAAGTACCTTCCATCATTTAAGTCCTGCTTTTCTCCCTTTCAATCTTTTATTAGGACTTACTTGACTTGATGCATTAAGAAAATGTGCCTAAAACTAGCCTTTTAAAAACTCATGAGTCAGTTACTGTTCAAACTGACATTTTCACTGAGCAAAGCCCATTACGTACACCTATGCACACTTTGGAAATGTACTTCTAAATGGCCACTGATATAAACAGCTGAACAAGGTTCCTCAATTTCACTACAGAAGTATTCCACCTATCCTAAAGATATTCCATCAGCATTCTATAGTTACCTGTATAAACAGCAACAAGTTTGATCTATGATCAACATATGAATATCTAATAAATATTAAACTATAGATTAAAACGCAGATCTCTCATAGAGTTAAGTGATGTCATTTTGGTACATTCACCATTATTTGTACTTTATTTAATAAAGAAATACATTTGCCCTTGCAAAAATAGCAATTGCAAGTTTACAAATAAAACCACAGACCTCAAAGTCACGATGCTAAATCTCCAACTTATAACAAAAGTAAATTGCTTGTTTACAAATGGTCCATGGCACAATTAAAAAAAAAAGTATATCAAAAGGTCACAGGAGCTTAAAGAATAGGTTTATTGACAATAATTTCATAAATATTCTAAAGAAAACGTCTAAACTTAAAAATGTTTAAAATCAGTTTTCATTGGCAAAATTTTCAACAAAACAAGTAGGTCACTACAAAGAATGTCACATTTAAAATTTGCTTCATTTTGACATTTTTGAAAAAAAGTTTTAAAAATTTACAATGTCTGATTTTTCCCCCACTTGGATACAGTAAATAAAACTGAAATTTCAGCTATCAGACACATTCGTGTTAGCAACTAGCTGCTGTGAACCTGACAGTTAAGCAAGTCAGTAGTATGTTATTCTACAAACATAAACGGAGCCCAATCATTTTGGTATTTATAGTCATAGCAATTTTAAGTAGTCAAAATGCAAAACTTGTGGTTTCCCTCCAAATCACCCAAAGCATGAGAGCGTGAGAAGTTGTTTGCATCAGTTTTTAAATGCATCTGTGTATGTCAGGTATCTGAAACAAAAAAGGGGGTTCTTTTGTGTTTTGATAAAAATGTAGTCAGGTATTTCATAACATTAATATTTATTGCTTTATATGAATACTGTATTGAAAGCCCAAGCACTCAAGTTTACACACAGAAATTATACAATTATATACCGCTTCACAAAGGCAGTGAACACATTACATTCTACAAAATCTACTTTACAGAAATTTAAAAATTCTAAATATCAAAAAGTACAGCTGAAGAAACAGGTATAAATTTGGCAGCCAGTAATTTTGACAGGGAAGTTGCAGCCTACATGACTTTAAATATGTGAATCTGAAAATATTGAGTTTAGAGTAATTGTGCTTTGTGTTGATCTGAAAACTATAACACTGGCTGTCGAAGAAGCATGTTCAAAAATATTTCATTCACTTCAAAATGTCATACAAACTATGGTGTTTTCTACATACCCCCTAATGCCTCAGTTATTTTAGCTCAAGTACATTACTAAAGTAATATATTAATTCTCCCAGGACACTGGTGTTTCATACCATGACATTTGCATTCTCTAGAATAATTTAGAAAGAAATGTGTGATATTCACAATGTTCAGAAAACATACCAAAGGTTACAGAACTCACTGGGTTCTTCTGAGATGGTCTCAGATTAGCTTCTTAAGCATTCACTCTACAAAATAGCTAAGGTTTGAACACAATTTCTAAGATAAAGCACATTTTCTCATAAATAATGAAGTCTTTTTTTCTTCAGGCACCTCAGAAGTATATAAAAGAATTTAGTTTGAGCAGATCTCTCGGAATGTGTTTAACCTGGTATTTCAACAGACTTAAGATTTCCAGGGTTCCACAAGGGCCAGATTTTATTTGAATTACTCAGAAGAGAAAGAAAATGTCTTCTGAAAGAAGTGAACTTAATCATCACCAATAGAAAAAGTATTCACTGTATTTGTCTCTTATAGAAACAGAAAAATATAACATTTCCCCCCCTTAGAATAATATATATATGTATATATGTTCCATTGTACATAGTCAAACAATAAAATCTGGAAACCAGCATGAAACCCTATAATTCACATGTTATGTTGAAACTATGACCAAAATATGAAAACTGCTACAGCTTCAGACAAGACAAACCATTCTTGCATATGTATAAACTAAATGGGATAATCTTGAAAGATTTTCAAAATAATAATTACTTTCCAGTTTAAAAACTTTAATTCTAAATTTAAAAAAAAAAAATCTATACACAAACCACTGATTTGACCAGACCACCACCCCCCAAAAAAAGTCGGCGGTAAGCAGGACCCAGAGGAACTGATATTCACAGTTCTTAACATATACAACTCTTTGAGGATTTATCCTTAAAGTACTTTATTTTACAACCTGCTTCTCTTGTAAAACTAAAGGTCCACTTTATTACATAAAAGTTTTTTTAATACAGTGTAAAACCAGAACTGTATGTAAAATACTGTATCTAAATGTTTCTAAGTAGTTAGTCTTGCTCCATTGGTTCATCTGTGACTTCTGAGGTTTCCTCATCATTTTCCATGGATGATTCTGAGAGACTATCTCCAGTTTTACTGGAATTGGAGCCTAACTCTTCTGCTTCACGGCAGTCTGAACTACTACTTACAGGGCCTGTATTTTCACTACCTTCAGAATGTAAATCTTTCTCAGCTTGAGACAGATCTGATTCCTCCATCTGATTATTTTCCTCAGAAGTCTCTTCATTCACAGTTAAGGCATCATCAGATTCTTTTTCTTGATTTTTCCTTTCTGGGATCATGTCTCTTGATGTCATATAAGACTCTAAAAATAAGCAAATGTTGTTGTAGTTAAATTTTATTTTCAAAAATACCTCCATAGTTAAGTTTCATGAATCTGATACTCTAAAGTTCAAATAATATCCCCTGAAACTCAGCAGCAACTACACAAAGGTGAGCCAAAAACCCAAATCAGCATAATTAGTTCCATTATGTTAATTCTTTCACACACAAAAAAAAGTATAAGATTTTTGAGGATCTCCTTACTCCACCCTTTTACAGATGATCTCTAAATACCTTCTTCCTCTTCATCCTCTTCTTCATCCTCTTCTGAACAGTGCCTGGTACAACTTTCTTTGTCTTTATCCTGAGGTGAAGACGACGCTTCAGTTTCCTCTACCATAACTGACGAAATCTCACTGGAGGTTGTCTGACTGGCTGTCTCTCTGACTTCACCTTCTTTGTCAAACCTGAGTCTTTTTACTTCATGCCCCTCAGATTCCACAGCATCTTCTCCATCCGGATGTTTATTTTTTATAGTGCTCATGGAAGAAACTTCTGATTCACATGCTGGAGAATCACTGTAAATGTTTTTGGAAAGTGTCATTAACATTTTCTTCACTGTATACATGCTTACTTTTAAAGTCTAGTAATGTTTTTTAAATTGTATTTTAGTGTCAAAATTAAATTATAACATCTGCCTAATGAAAAACACAAGAGTAATCTGAAGATAATCTAAGCTGTTTCACAAGTATTTCCCATTAAGGCCTACTCAACAAGTTAGGACTTCCTGAACAATTCTCCATCAAATTAAGTATCTATGATAAAACTAGAGGTCCTCCAGATGAACATACTCAAGTCCTCTTACTCACCTTGTCACATTATATACTTTAATAAGATGGAAAGATTTTGAAAGAAATGTTTCCTTTTATGATTTACAACAAAACTAAAGAATTTCATTATCTTTTTTCCAGTAACTTTCAAAAGCTAGAAATAAAAATGTGCCACAATTACTTCAAGGACCTCCATAAGCAATCTGCCAGGGCACATCAGTTGTCAAATCTTTTCATGTCAACCTGCAGTTTACTAAGGATGCGAACAGGTCCTACAGCTATTATTAAAGTGGTGTTCAGTCTCCTCAGCATAACAGTACAAGCATAAGAGTGCCAGTATGCAGGGCACTAGTTCCAGGACCTGAAAGATTACAAAATCTGAAGATGCTCAAGTCTCTTACAAAAAAATGGTAACATTTGCACAGCACCTACACTGTCTTTCCATATGTTTTAAATCATCATCAGATCACTTTTAATACCTACTAAAAGCAAATGTTATAAGCAAGCAGTTGTTCCATTTTACTGTACAGAATAATGAGGAAAAACTCTGTACATGTTTGGTACAGACATAACATTTCCCTAAATGTTTCTGATACCTGGTTGGCTGAATCCATAGACATGAAAACCACAAATAGAGAATGGTAAGAGTACACTGTAAATAATGAATGCTGAAAACCATTAATAAATGAAACTTTCTATGAAACATTTTTTTCATATAAAACACAAACCTGTGATTTTTCTCTTCATTTTGCTGTAAGGTTGACTCTCTGCTTTCTGTACTTTCAGGCAAACCATTTGTTGTCAAGGGGGCTGACAAAGAAACCTTTGGTCGATTAAGTGGCCTAGGTGTTCCAGGCCCATTTATGTTAGACCTACAGTAAGATAAATCAGTATCATTTTCCATTTTTAAAGGAAATTATCCTTCCCAAAGTACATTTATATGAAACATGTCACAAAAATACCTGCAATATTTATTGCAGATCCACACCTTAGCAAATTAACAAATCCAGTGCCGTTTACCTGAGATTTGCTCCATAACATGTTTAAATTAAAAAAAAGTACACTAAGCCTGATACTCAAAATCAGGAAAACACAAACCATTTTGGTACTGATAGTGGAGAATCTCACCTCTCAGTATAGCTTGGTGAATTTCCAGGAAACATAACACCATTCATTCGATTTAAACTGTTGGAATTATTTTTCCTATAACAAAAAAAGTAGTTAGGGATAGTTTAAATTTTGATGAGAACCTTGGGCCTAAAAGGATTTCACTGTCACAGATCCATACAGGATTTCTGAATTAACATAAGCTCACACTCAAAGATACTTTTTTTAAAAAAAAATTAGTTTTTGAGGAATCATGTTGTACTTTTTTCATGTTTTCCACATTCTTCCACCAGGAAAAGGATTTAAAACAATGTTTTTGTTAAACATCTCATTATAGGATCTAATTCAGCAACAAAGATAAAACTTGAGAATTTCTAAAATTTGACTTTTTATGAAAATAGAAGTACCTTAAAATTAAGCCAATGGGCCTCATCGTGAACTAGCCTCTTCTCCCTGTATTTGACATCATCCAGAGGACAGCAGGCTTTGTCTCAAACTTAAGGAGTAGAAGGAGATACCTGAAGCCTCTGTGGTTAGAGACTAGGGACAGTGACAAACCTGCAATCTCCAGATCTCTTCACACCAAAAAATTAGTTACTCCTCATCTCAATAGTGTCAAAGTTTAGAAAATGTGCTCTATATTTACTTCTTACTTTTCTATGAGTCCTGAAAACAAGAAAGGCTTTTCCATTACTAAGAGGAAGCCATTCCAATAAGCAGCTATTTAAAAACCTAGAGCTATGCCTTTGAAAAGAATCTAAGGTGGCACCTCGGGGCTCTGAGTACCACCATGACAGCAAATAAATCCAACAATATTGGAACTACAGTAAATTACAAATCTTTTAAACTCTATCACTTCACTGAAAAAAACTCAGTATTATTGGTAATATTCTACTTTGGGGATTCGGTAATAGGCACACAATGAATGAATATGTTACCATACTTAATTACATGCAAAGTAAGTGCCATATGCTTTAAGAATACATTGGAAATAATACAATTAGAATATAATAATATAGCACAAACTTATGAAGATTTCCATACTTACTCTGACGAAGGATAAACACAGCTTACAACCATGACATTCTGAAATAACAAAAATTGGATTTACATTTGAGTGAAAAGTACAACATAAGTTTAATCATTTGTATTTTAATTCCTCAAATTCATCCTATTTATTCCATGTTTGCTAATAAGAAAAACAAATGATTAAAAATAAAATCTGATAAAACCTGAACAGGTCCTGAGTTCAATTCCCAGGACCAAAACATAAACAAAGGAGGGGGCTTGCAGGTTAGCTCAGTTGTTTAAAGTGCCTATGTGGGCAAACTTAAGTCAGGCACAGGGGACTGTAGTTTGATCCCCAGCTCCACATGCCACACCAGACCTGCCCTTAAGGCAGCCTGAGCCAGCCACAAAAATAAAGGGAAAGCCATAAAGTAACAATGACGCATAAACAATATACTGTACTACTAAACCTTTTTTGATCTTTCTTTACCCTAGTTATTCATATAAAGGGCTAGAATTATGCTTTCTTTCAAAAGCAATTAGGAACTGAAGTACTCAGCCTGAGTGTGAGGTCTTTCCTCATATAAGGCAATGCCCAATCCAAAGCTTGCTGCATAATACCATAAACCTCAAGGACAGAAATACAAATACTTTTTTAAAAATAATAAAATACAAATGCTTTGTGCTTTATCTCACAGCCTTACTTTCCATATTTCAGAGGAGGAAACTTTGAGCCTAAGATTAAAGAACTGGCCCAAAGCATCACATCTACAAAGCACTGCAGTCTTAATTTGAAGGCCACACTCCCTGTGACATGTTACCTCTGCATCTACAAATCTCCAAAGGGAAATTATTAAAAAGGTCAGTCAACCACAGTAGTTTTCTGCTCTTTGGTAATCTTATTCAAACGAGGGGACAGAGGCTCAACAAAACAAACTCCCATCAAGGCCCTAAGAACTAATGTAAATCATCACATAAAGACTCTACATTCTGTTCCTAGGGTAAAATACATCGATGTTGACTCAGAACCCCAAAACATGGGACTATGTTTTGAGATCATCTACTTAGAATTAGTAAACCACTAGTCCAATTTTGGTTCCCACAGTTCTCCTCCTGTTCAATCCAGTGTCTTACTTTTCACTCCCTCAAACACTTTGAAGTTTTACACTGTTTCCTTTCTACAGAATGTCCTACCCTTATTAACATTTATTTGCTAATATCTGACCTGTATCTTTCTAGTTCAGAGGTTAATTTAACCACAACTGTGTCCCTGAACTCTAGAAAATTTTAAGTCTGAAAAACACTACTATTAAAGCTAACACATCAATTGTTGAACATTGAGATCTTTTAATGTTGATATACACTATGAATATTTAAGTGGTAATAAGATACTGTTCCAAAACATACAAACTATTACATCAGGCCTTAATCTGCCCCATTCTATAAATTTCTCTAAAATATAAAGCAGAATTTGAAGGGGCTGGCAAGATAGCTCAGAGGACTGAAGTGCCTACTTGGGCAAGCACAGGAACTGCGGATCGAGCACTGCCCCCAGGACAGGGTAAGCCTGCCAAAGTCAGGGCATGGTGGCACATGCCTGTAATCCCAGCGTTGGGAAGGCTGAAAGCAGGAGGATCATAAGTCCAAGCTGCGCAATGAGAGCCTGCAGCAACAACCAAAGATATTTAAAAAATAATAATAATAATAATGATGAGTTGGAAAATGATTTGGGAAAAAGTCAGGATAGGATAGAAAATCTATTTCAGGAAAAGGTATCTAAAAAAGATCTTACACAGTATTCACTTCTGAAATCCATTAGGCCTTAGTTAATGGAATTCCCATAATAAAATAAATACCTTTTCTACTCCTCTGAGAAACTTGTCTGTTCCTGTATAGTTTCTCCTTGGATCTGTTAACAATTCACATAGTCGCTGAATAGTAAAAGGGATACTGTAAAAGAATACAATTATCTAGTTTGAGATCATTAGTTATCAAGCATATTAGAAACATTACCTATTTTGGTAAAGCTTCACTGAGTCACCCATGTTAAGCTACACAAGGCTACAATAAGAAAATGAATGAGCCATTTAATAACAGACAAGACAATCAGCACTGTCTTTTTATTTAACAGAAAGTTTCTTTGCTTTAAAAAGCAATAAAAGAACATCAAAAGATTAAAATGCTTCAAAAATGATTTTAAAATTTATAACATTCTTAAACCATGATCATTTAAAATTAAGAGAAGTAACAGTAATAATCACATTAAGAGTTTATTTACATACAGAAAATTTTTCTCCATAATTGTTTGGCACATAAACATTCCTTTAGGTAGGTATTCAAACAAATTATGATTCTGTTACTGGTTAAAATAAGACAAATTATCCCAAAAGAGGCATTTTAAATACAAATCTGCTCCACTGTTACATTTTTACACACACCATGCTCAAAAATTTGGTAAGGCCCACATATGTTAACTTTGCCAAATGCTTTCATATGAATGTAATTTTTATCTGATCACAGCAAATTCAAATCTGCCATTAACTTGGGACAAAAACCATCTTATAAAATTTTTAAAACTCACTGTAAGTTGGCAGCATTCATCAGAATTCAAATATTAAACAGGGAGGTTATGTGTACTAATTATGACAACTGTAGCTAAAAAGCATAAACATAATCTTCAGACTTCAGCATTTTCCACACAAATTTATTCTCCTTACAGAGATAATTATATACAACTCCTCAAATTAATAGTTAATATTCACAATGTATACTGTTTTGTGTTTTTTCTCTTTTTTTTTTTTTAAACAGGCAGGCCAACATATTATTCTCCAACAAAATAAAACAGCTAAATGAGTAACTCAGTTTCTCTTAACTTCCTATCCCTTTATCTTTCACTGTACCACACACAATGAACAAAACCATCACTGTAATGTTTATAGCATGAATAACTACTAATGTATTCTTACTAAAAAGTTAAAGATTTACAAAAATTTTGAAAAAATTTTGAAAATATTTAAAGTAAATGTTATTCATACATTAAGCCCAAGAATTGATCTTCACTCAATTATCATCCATATAAAAGAAAATTATTTGGACAAAAAGGATAGATATGTGTGTGTATATATATATATATATATATATATATGTATAACTACGACATTCATCATGACAGCTATATTCCTTTTCTTACACTAGTCAGGACAAAGAATCATGTTTAAAATGAAAAATTAAATAAAATGAAAAAGAAATACAAAGCACACCAACAGCATTACTAATAATGAAACACTAAGCTTTCACATCTTTTTATTCATTTTTAAAACACAAATCCATAGTTAATATATAAAACTACTTTCACTTTAAAAATTTAATTCATCTTCCAAGCTGCTTATATCAAACAACAATTTTTCAACTGTCCTTTCTAAAAAGTTTAACTGTGATGCTTGATCATGTTATTTGCATATGTGTATCATGAATTTCCAAATATTAGCAGTATATACCTGCATCATAGCCCCTACCTCTTCTTCATTGCTCTCCCAACCCTAAGTACACTAACATAACAAGTTGTTTCCTTTGTTTTATAACACTAATTAAATTTATATATTATGGCTATATAGCATTTTTAACAATCAAACAATACCAACTGGCAAATATTCAAATAAACATTGGCTACTTGTACCTTTCTTCCAAGTGAAAACTCACACCAAAAATAAATATTTTCTCTTAAATTAGAATTAGCTTTAGCAGATGCATATTTTTAATCTTCCTGTTTAACATTTACTAAATGTTCTGGCTATTTTTTTTTTTTACAAATGTATGCAAAACAATCAAAAACCTTTAGGGTGACTGTCCTTATTTATCTTCTCCTTTGCATCTGCCTGTAAACCTGTTGCCAATTATTAGTATTGTACATGTCTGTGTGTATGTGGCAGGGTAAGTATGTGTTTCAATACAGAAGACAGTAATAGCAGCCTAGGAACATTTCACCAAGTATCCAACAGATGGCACTAAAATGCTGCACAACACTTTTCTCTCATTTTGAGCAAGCTAAAATACAAACACTTCACATAAATAAGTTTCCACTAGAAATACAAATATAACAATAGCATTGAAAATTTCTTTACATCCACAAGCAAGGACTATCTTTTCATTATCTGAAATTCTCCTTGATTTCTTTTTTTCAGAGTACTGTATTATCACTTCTACAGATCTTTCACTTCATTAGACTGCTCCCTAAGTATTTCATTTCTTTGGAATGTTAATGTGAAAGGTGTGGTCTTTCTCTCTTGGTGCTTGTTGTTTGTATACAGAAATACTACTGATTTCTGAGTGCTGACTTTGAATCCTAAATTTTCCCTATTTTCTTCTGTTTAAAACCGTATCAAACCATTCTGTTCTTGAACATATACAGTGTATTGCTACACACAGAACACAGTTTGGAGTTTTTATGTTAAAAATAAAGAAAACCTCTCTACAAATGTCCACTGAGCTCCATAAATATGAGAGCTTATTATAATCTAGAAATACTGCTAGTGAGTAAGAAATACAAATTCTTGTTCACTAGGACAGGCAACATAAGTAGTTGCAGGGCTGGTGAGATGGCTCAGTGGTCTAAAGCACCTACTTAGAACAAGCTTAGCAAAACACAGGGACAATCCCCCAGCCCCCTGGTGGGCTGAGCTGGCCACACACACACACACACACACACACACACACACACAAATAAATAAAAAAAAATTTATAAGTAGTTGTGGTTACAATGATAAATGCTAATAATGTTTATACAGCGTTATGGGCAAAACTAATGCTGGTCACAGTTGATGTGATGCACGTCCTTTACTCAGAGGTGTAAGAATAAACCACATAAACCAACTCCAAATTAATGTATTTGGTAAAACCATACGAAAAATTTGGATTTCTGCTGTTCTTCCATAAGACACAGCACACTGAAGTTTATTTTAATTCATCAAAAATGCTAAGTCTTCCCAGTTTAAAAAAAAAAAAAAATCACTAAACTAAGACCTTAGGGCTGGCCAGATAGCTCAGCTGATTAAAGTGCCTGCTTAGGCAGACAAAGAGGTTGGAGGTTTGATCCCTGGCCTGCTGTGCCGGCCCCACCCCGGGGGCAGCTGAGATGAGATTAAGATTTGGCGGGTTGGTCCACACCTGTAATCCCAGCACTTGGGAAGCTAAAAACAGGAGGATCACTATGAGTCCAATCTATGTAGTGAGACCCTGCAGACCCACCCTGCTCTAAAATACAAAAAAATAATAATAAATAAATAATAAAGACCTTACCATAAGACTAAAACGCAAATATGGGAGACATTAAAGAAAGCATGCGACAACCAGGATATGATGGTGCATGCCTATAATCCCAGGACTTGTAAAACAGAGGCAGGGGGACCACTGCATGTTTCAGGCCAGCTGGGCTACAGAGTGAGCTCAAAGACTGCCTGAATTACAAAGAGAGACTGTCTCAAAATATAAAATAAAATAGCATGCTGCTCATCGAAAATATGAATCACAAGCCTTCAATGTTGGGGAGAACGGACAGGATCACTACCAAAGGTATACTAGAAAAATAACTGCAAAAAATCAAGTTATTTTAAGATGTACTTAGTTTATTTTGGAGAATTACTTCCCTTGCCTATGAAATAAAAACTATATACAAAAGGAACTGAAAAAACTTGCATAGCTAGGTAGCATCTGTATAGAAACAAAAGTGCCTTCATAATCCAATGACAACTTTTTAAATTTCCAGATGTTAAGGATCCAACAGAAGGATTCTCAAATGGTATTACTCAGATAATATACAAAAGTATTGCCAGTTGACTTTTAATGTAGAAATTATAAAGCAGAATGGCCCACAGGGAGAACACATTCTCACTGCATTTACCTATCTTTATATCTTGTCTTACATAATCTAACAGTGCTTAAGATTTCAGGAAATGATCAATAAAATCTTAGTCCCTATCAGCACTTCAATTTTATCTCCATCAAAGGAAGACTTCTAGGAAGGTACACATGTCCCAAAGACTAATTACAGAAGACAAAGCTCCGCCTTTAAAAGACATTGCTTTTAATTCCAAAGACAGCAACGAACCATAAATAAAAGAGGGTAACTTCTGTATTCCCTATGCAACTAAATGAGTGAAAGGAATCCATCTCTACTTATTTAAAAAAAAAAAAAAAAAAAAAAGAAAATTGAGTCTTTCATACCTAAAAGCACGGGAAATTTAAATCCCAAGAAAGTCACTAAGCATCAGACATATCTAAGCAAAAAGTAGTAATTCAGTACTATTTTTAAAATTTTAGAGATTGGAGATACAGCTTAGTAGCAGAGTACTTGCCCAGTGTTAATTAAGTTCAATTTCAGACAACTACAAAAACAGGATGGGAGAAAAAAACAAAAGTGTAAACATGTCTAAACTGTAAAGAAACCATAATTCCTTATATTCTAACCAGAAAATACATTTGACTAAAACACAGAGATGTAAAATATCTCCCCACTTATTATATTTTACTTTGCTCTCTATTTTTAGTGTTTTTTCTCACATAAGAGAAACAACTTGATATTTAAGCATGAGTCTGATTTCTTGCACTTAACATTATATTCTCAAGGTGCATCCATTTTCCTATAAATGACTTATCTCCTTTATCAAAAATGAGTACTCCAGGGTATGTAGACACTTTTCTTTATCCATTCATTTGCTGCTGGACAGAGGGCTGCTTCAAAGATTTAGCTACAGCCCACCCCCTACACACAAACACACACACACACACACAGAGGCATGTACATTTCACTCAGATTCTAAGATACAAAAATCAGATAATCCAACCTTCGTTAAAGAAGCAACCCTATCCCCATCAGAGAGACATACCATAAAGCAACAAAATATCACAGTAAATAACAAAAGCCATAAAATCAGTCTATTGAGAAAAAATAGCAA